AAGGGCGTGTCAAGTGTGACCATTGTGGCAAACTAGGCCACAAAATTGACAAATGTTATGCTTTACATGGTTATCCTCGCCGATCTGCTGTAGTTGCTCAGACTGATTCTTCCGCACAATCCTCTGCTGTGGATCCTCCTTCGTCTGTACCTTCAGACAAATCTGCTATCTTCAATGATTTTCTTCAATGGTATGAGGATCGAAAGCCCTCCGGTTCCACTACTTCGTTGCCCACACAGGTACATCTTTTGCTTGGTCCGACTCACTCTTCTTCTATTGGCTCTTGGGTTCTTGACTCGGGCGCCACCGATCACATCACTGGTAACAAATCCTTATTTTTCTCTTTCACTTCTTCTCATAATTTACCCTCTGTTACAATGGCTAATGGGTCTACAACTTTAGCTCATGGTGTTGGAATAGTTACTCTTTTTCCCTCGTTGTCCATTGATAATGTTTTGTATGTACCCGGGTCCCCCTTTAACTTATTATCCATTAGCCGTCTAACTCGATCTCTTGATTGTGTTATCTCTTTTACCAAAACTTCTGTTTCCTTACAAGACCGGAGCTCGCAAAGAGTGATTGGCACCGGATGTGAGTCACATGGACTTTATTATCTTCAACCTTCTCCACATGTTGGCACAGTTATGGAGTCTCCTTCTCTCCTTCATGCTCAACTTGGTCACCCCAGTCTGCGCAAATTACAGCAACTTGTTCCCAGCTTATCCCAGTTGTCCAGTTTGGTGTGTGAGTCCTGTCAATTAGGCAAACATAGTCGTACTTCCTTTTCTCGTAGTGTTTCCCAGCGTGCTTCATCCCCCTTTGCCTTAGTTCACTCTGACATTTGGGGACCCAGTCGTGTTATGTCTAATTTAGGTTTTCAATATTTTGTTACTTTTATTGATGATTTCTCTCGTTGTACTTGGTTATTTTTAATGAAAAATCGTTCTGAGGTGTTTTCTATATTCCAAAACTTTTATCATGAAATTAAAAATCAATTTGGTGTCTCTATTCAAACTTTTCGAAGTGATAATGGCCGTGAATATCTTTCAAACTCGTTTAAACAATTTATGGCTTCTCATGGCATTTTTCATCAAACTTCCTGTGCTTATACCCCTCAACAAAATGGGGTGGTCGAGCGTAAGAATAGACACCTTATTGAAACAACCCGTACTCTTTTAATTCATGGTGCGGTTCCTCAACATTTTTGGGGTGATGCTTGTTCTTACTTGCTGTTATCTTATTAATCGTATGCCCTCTTCGGTTTTAGATAACAAAATTTCCCATTCTATTTTATTTCCTCATGACACTCTCCATCCTTTACCTCCGAAGGTTTTTGGGTCTACCTGTTTTGTCCACAATTTTGATCCTGGTCATGATAAGTTATCTCCTCGATCACACAAATGTGTTTTTTTAGGATTTACTCGATCCCAAAAAGGATACAAGTGTTTTTCTCCTTCTCTTAATCGCTATTTTGTGTCTGCAGATGTCACCTTCAATGAGTTTTCCTTTTACTTTAAGGACCCTTCCCTACCTGCTGAGTCTCCATCTCGCTACAGTTCCCATTCCTGTTCTCATTGATCCTTATGTTGAGGACCATCCACCATTAGCCCCTCCTCCTCCACCACCCCTTCGGGTTTATAGTCGCAGACCTCGTCCACAACAGACGCCACATGACTCACTCCCGGTGCCAAATACTCGCCTCCTCCGGTTCGAGTCCACGAGTCCGACCTTCCTATTGCCCTTCGTAAAGGTACGCGTTCTACTCGTAATCCTTCTCCACATTATACTGCTATTAGTTATCATCGAGTTTCTTCACCATTTTATACCTGTCTCTCGTCTATTTCTTCGTGTCTATTCCTAAATCTGTCTCCGAAGCCTTAGCCCACCCTGGTTTGCGTCAGGCCATGCTAGATGAACTCGGTGCTCTTCGGACTAGTGGAACCTGGACGCTTGTCCCATTACCATCTGGAAAATCTGTTGTTGGTTGCAGGTGGGTCTTCGCTATCAAGGTTGGTCCTGATGGTACTATTGATCGCCTCAAAGCTCGCCTTGTAGCCAAAGGCTATACCCAAATTTTTGGGTTGGATTATGGTGATACTTTCTCTCCAGGTGACAAAGATGGCTTACGTTCGTTTATTCATTGCCATGGTCTGCTATTCAACAATGGTCTCTTTATCAACTGGATGTCAAAAATGCTTTCTTGAATGACGATTTGCAAAAAGAGATTTATATGGAGCAACCTCCGGATTTGTTGCTCGGGGGAGTCTTCCGGATTGGTATGTCGTCTTCGCAAATCTTTATATGGCCTAAAACAGTCTCCTAGGGCCTGGTTTGGCAAATTTAGCGACGTTGTTCAACAATTTGGCATGACTAGAAGTGAGGCGAGACCACTCGGTCTTTTACCGATCACTCGAATCGTTGGATGTATCTATTTGATAGTGTATGTCGATGACATTGTTCTTACAGGTAGTGACCATCATGACATCTCTCGGATGAAACAACACCTTTGCCACCATTTTCAAACCAAAGATCTTGACAAATTCGAGATATTTCTTGGGTATTGAGGTAGCACAATCTACCGATGGCATTGTTATATCTCAAAGAAAGTATGCATTGGATATTTTGGAGGAAACTGGGTTGATGAATTCAAAGCCTGTTGACACACCCATGGATCCTAATACCAAACTCTTGCCAAATCGGGGGAGCCAATGTCGGATCCCGAACAGTATAGAAGATTAGTTGGAAAATTAAATTATCTTACGGTTACTCGCCCGACATTTCCTTTGCGATCAGTGTGGTGAGTCAATTCCTCAATTCTCCTTGTCAAGATCATTGGAATGCGGTCATCCGTATATTGAAGTACATCAAAAAGTCTCCTGGAAAAGGTTTGGTGTATGACTCCCATAATCATACAAGAGTTGTCTCGCTATTCGGATGCTGATTGGGCAGGATCTCCCTCTGATAGAAGATCTACATCCGGGTATTGTGTTTCCATTGGTGGTAACTTGATCTCATGGAAAAGTAAGAAACAAAGTGTTGTGGCAAGATCCGAGTGCAGAAGCGAGTATAGAGCTATGGCCTCGGCTACCTGTGAACTTATTTGGCTCAAGCAATTGCTTAAAGAGCTACAATTTGGAGATGTCACTCAAATGACACTAGTGTGTGACAATCAGTCGCTCTCCATATAAGTTCTAATCCTGTCTTTCATGAGAGGACTAAACACATTGAGATTGACTGTCATTTTATTCGAGAAAAGATTATGTCTGGAGACATCAAGACTGAGTTCGTTAACTCATGTGATCAATTAGCAGATATTTTCACTAAGTCTTTACGGGGACCTAGGATGGATTATCTTTGTACCAAGCTTGGCACATACGATTTGTATGCTCCAGCTTGAGGGGGAGTGTTAGATATGATTAGATATTAGTTGATATTGTTTGATATTGTTGAGATATTGTTAGATATTGTTAATCACAATATCAAATAATATCTTTTATTTACCCTATTTGTATTCTGTTATTCTTTTGAGGAGTACCTTTCTTTATTATAAATACATTGTCCTATGTGTGGTAAAAACACAAGGGAAATTAATCCTATATAGTTTTTCCCTATATTCAACAAAGCTCTATTGTGATAATAAGTCAGCAATCAGTATAGCCCACAACCCAGTGCAGCATGATAGAACAAAGCATATTGAAGTAGACAGACACTTCATCAAAGAAAAGCTTGATAGTGGCTTGATATGCACTCCATATGTGTCCTCTCAAGACCAAATTGCAGACATTCTTACCAAAGGACTGGGCTGCCATAATTTTGAGAAGATTGTATCCAAGCTGGGAATGGAAAACATCTATTCACCAGTTTGAGGGGGAGTGTGAGAAATCAAATAGTATTTTAGGAAAGAATAAATAAGGAAATTTGTATATTTCCTTGTAATCTGTACAGATTTGAATAATTAGGAACAATCCCATAAATCAAGGGATCCTAGCATAAAATAGAGTTATTATATTTCCTAAAATAGTTTAGGTCTCTTGTATATATCTTATATCATCTCTTTGTATTGATATAATAAAAATCATATTTCAGTTAATCTATTTTTCAACATTTCTACATTACAGCAAGAGCACCACAAATCAGCTTTATTTGGCTGCCCATTTTTTGCATTTTCTGCAACCATGGCCAAGCTTTCAACAACTGGAGAATCAAGCATCAAATTTCTCCTAATTTCCTCATTGCTTATAATGGCAACCACTTCATTAAAGCTCTGGACTTCTAATTTTCCAATGATTTGGATTCTGACTTTAATCAAAATCACGATTTAATCCTACAAGATAATCATACACCCTGTCCCTTTCAATAAATTCCTTCAAAACAGTAGCATCTAAAACACTTTAAGTGGTTAGCATATTCACTATCAGATTTGTTTCCCTGTCTTGCAGCTACTGTTTACCTTTACATCATACACTTGAGCATCATCTTAAAGCCTCAGAATAAGTTTGCTCAATTGCATCCCAATTTTCTATTGTTGTGCTGAGATACATTATGGTATCACTAATTTTTGTATTCATAGAATTCCACACTCAAGCAATAATCAATTAATCTTCCTCATCCCATGCTGTGAAATTTGGGTCTCCCTCCTTTGTCCAGCACTATTCAAGTGGCTGATTTTTCCTTTTCCTTTCAGTATTGTGCTTACAAGTTGTGACCACTTCAAGTAATTTTTCCATTCAACCTGTAAGTAAATTGAATGCCCCTTAAATCTCGATATTGATTATTCTGAGGTGGATGAACAACCTCCCCTTCCATATCAGAAAGTCACTGGAAAGTTGCCAGAAAGTTACTGGAGTTCTGATTGGCTGGAAAAACTTACACAACAAAAAGTCTGACAGTTTCAAGAGCCTAGTCAAAATTCTAAAGAATTTTTGTTTGTGGAGGCAAAGCTCTCTTAGATTGGGAACTCTGATACCATGTTAATATAATATATTTTCTCCATGTTTTAGGAAGTGCTGGTACGATTTGCTGGTTTTGGACCTGAGGAAGATGAGTGGATTAACATTCGAAGGCATGTTAGGCCGCGCTCTTTGCCATGTGAATCATCAGAATGTGTTGTAGTAATTCCGGGTGATCTCATACTTTGTTTTCAGGTAGGAATTGCTGTAGCCAGGTGTCAAAAATTACACTTTATTTCTGTTTTTATCTAATCATGTTTTACTCTGTGGAACATCTATTTATTCCTCATAGTTTTTTGACATTACAGGAAGGTAAGGAGCAAGCCCTTTACTTTGATGCCCATGTACTTGATGCTCAAAGACGGAGACATGACGTAAGAGGCTGTCGTTGTAGATTTTTGGTTCGCTATGATCATGATCAATCAGAGGTATTAATTTTCTCTTGATTTTCTATCGTGGGATATTTTTTATGATATAATTTTGTCACTTTTTCGGATATCATTCAGACTTGTAGTAAGATTTGGTCACCTAGGATTTATCTTCATGAATTTATTCTTTCACATCTATTTTGGGTTTTCATAAATTTCATTCCGGAATAATCTGTTTTGGGATGGTTTAGTTATAAGTTTTCAAACTTATAGAAACTAAAACAAGTCTTCAATTTTTAGTTTTTAGTTTCAGTTTATTTTGTTTGCAGTTTTGAAAAATAGTTGTCAACTTTATTTATCTATTTTTTTTAAAATAATCATTGATAACAACAATTTTTTCACAAAATATTATGTTTTTAGTTCTTACTAAGTAAAAAAGAAGAAGTAATAATAATAAATGGAGAGAGAGAAGAAGACAAACGTTTTACGAATATGACACAGCAGAGACAATGGGGAGCACGAGAGGTCAACAACATTGCGACTTCTCAAAACTTTTAGCTCAAAATAGAGATTTTTTTTTTTCGTTTTCTTTTTTTTTTTCTTGAGAAGTAAAGTAAAATGATTTTGAAAATGAAGTTTGAAAACCTAAAACTAATGACACGCAACCACCCCAATGAGGCCTACAGTTTTCACTCTTTACTTATTTGGGTTTTGGTTTATATGGTTTTTATTTTTGGATATTGTTAGATTTAAAATTTAGAGAACGTAATATAATTCCTTATATATTCATTTTTTTCTCATATTTTTAGGGAGGATAGATAATCAATGTGCTGATAAACTTGTTGACTGGGCACTAGGTCTCAGGGATATTCATGGTGGCATAATGTTCCTAAATTTATTTGCCGTGTGTTTTTCAGGAACAGATTTGATTTACCTTTATGTAGGATTAGCAATTGATTGTGGGTTTGGTGTGGTCCCCCACTTTATTTTGTATTTTCTTTTTTTATATAATACTCTGAGGTGTTGTATATGATTTTTGTGGTGCAACTTAATTAGGATGACTACCAATATAGTGATGCTCTATCACTTTTTTATAAAAAAATTGTCGTTGAAATTGAAAAAGTTGTTTTTCCTCCTTTTCTGAATTGTTGTCTGCTGCCATCCATAGGCGCAGTATGTTTTGCTTTTTTTTTCCTCTCGATGAACTCATGCTCCTATATATATATAAGCTGTTGTCCACTACCAGCTCTCATCATTCGTTGCCATTGGTGACTATCATTTTTTTTCCAGCGAACTCAAGGTTAGGTGTTATCTTTTTCTATCATTAAGGGGCAATGGGCCTTCACTCTGGTCCTTGTGAAGGAGATCTATTCTCATTTGTTGGTTGCCAGATATTTCATCTGCTGGTCCAGTTGTCTTTTTTGGAACTCCTACAACTACTACTAAAGAACTCAATGGAAAAAACTACTTGTCATAGTATGCATTAATAAGAGCTTTGGTTTCTTAGTCAAAGATACCATGACCACCTAGAGGAGGTAAGTGAAATATCATATGAAGATAAAGCTACGTGCTGTGCTGTAGCAGTATGTGGAACCCGATATTTTGAGAAATTTTAGAACTTGTTCTAATAATTTAATTACATGACTTCTCCATGTTCCTACTCTTAAAAAGAATGAATTTTTTGTTGAATCTATTGAATTCTCTTCCATGTTGTTTAGCTGGGAGAGAGGAGGACATAGAAATTGAGGTGGACGCAATGGCTGAAGTGGTCTACCTCAATGTTTTTATTGTAAGAGTATGGGACACATGTGAGGAAACATACATGGTTTCCTTGAAAGAACAGCCCATATATCCAATTTAGAATAAATTAAGCACTAGCATTGTAAATATGAGTACGAGGAATACCTTCGACTCAAATCCAATAACCAAGCGCAATTATCCTCGACACCTAGTAACTCTCTAGTATGCATTTCTCAATCTGCTAATAATCGAAGTCTATAGATAATTGATTCAAGTGCTGATCATAATTTTGGCAATGGTTCTTTATTCACCTTAATATCTTCCCCAAAATTTCCTCATCTAATTACCCTAGCAAATAGCTTTAAGGTTGCTTCCAAGGGAGTTGGTTTAGTTTGTCTCTCTCCTTTCTTAAAATTGAAATTTGTTCTCTTTGTCCCCAATTCTCCTTTCAATTTAATTTCCCATGGTCAACTAACCAAGTCATTGAATTGTTTTGACATTTGATTTTCATTCTTTTGTTATATTGGAATGTTGTACAAGTCGATTGATTGGTGTAACACATAATCTCAAGGACTCTCTTGTATGGAAACCAATCCCCATATGTTTCTTTTTTTCATCTTTTTGTCTTAAACTTCATCATGATCACTTAGGTCATCCAAATTTGTTAAATTTAAAGAAAATGATTTTTGGATTCACTAAAATACACATGTTAGAGTGCCAATGCTACCTTTTTTGAAGTAACCTCCTACTTCCTCTTCACTATAAGGCCTATATACTATCTAATAGGCGTTACCTATCCCATACCAAAAACACTTTATCATCTTGGATGATGACAAGTTGCGATTGTTAAAAACTCTTGAACAATATGATACATGGGAGTTAATTCCTCTTCCTCCTATAAAGAAAGTTGGTTGCAAATGGGTATGGTGAGGTTGATCATCTTAAGGCTTCTTAATGGCAGTTAAGAGAGTAAAGAAAATGAAAAGAAGATTTCTAATTTTGTGGGATACTTACTCCACTCTATGATCTCATATATATATATATAGGATTACAACATTTAAAACAACAACAACCAACTACTAACAACCACCAACCACCAACTACTAACTACTAACTACCAACCACCAACTACTAACTACTAACCACTAACCACTAACTAATAATAATTCTAACACTTCCCCTCAAGCTGGAGCATACAAATTGTATGTACCAAGCTTGGAACAAATAAATTCAATTCGAGGTCCTCTTAAAGACTTTGTCAACACATCTGCAAGTTGATCATTGGATTCGACAAATTCAGTGCAAATTTCTTTAGACAACAATTTTTCACGAATAAAATGACAATCAAGTTCTATATGTTTGGTCCTTTCATGAAACACCGGATTAGAGGCAATGTGGAGAGCTACTTGATTGTCACAATACATCTTCATCTGTTGGATCTCACAAAATTTCAGTTCTTGAAGGAATTGTTTCACCCACACTAGTTCACAAGTGAGACATGTCATTGCTCTATATTTAGCTTCAGCACTAGACCGGGCCACTACATTTTGTTTCTTACTTTTCCAAGAAATAATATTGCCTCCAATGAGAACACAATATCCTGTAGTGGAGCGTCTGTCCATAGGGGATCCAGCCCAATCAGCATCACAATACCCAGATATTTGGGTACCCCCTTTATCTTCATACAACAGACCTTGTCCTGGAGCTTTTTTGAGATATTTTAGGATGTGAACGACAGTATTCCAATGATCAGTACGCGGATTTTGCATAAATTGACTCACAACTCCAACGGCAAAAGATAGTTCAGGTCTGGTAATGGTAAGATAAATGAGTTTTCCAACAAGTCTTCTATATCTCTCAGGATCGAGAGCGGTTCACCTTGATCCGCCATTAATTTCTGATTTGGATCCATAGGGTCATTCATCGGTCTACAATCAATCATTCCTGTTTCTTTCAGGATATCTAAAGCATACTTTCTTTGGGAGACTACAATGCCTTCTTTTGATTGAGCCACTTCAATCCTTAGAAAGTATTTGAGACAACCAAGATCCTTAGTTTGGAAGTGATTGCATAAATGTTTCTTTAGCAAAGAAATTTTATCAACATCATTCCCTGTAATGACTATATCATCTACATATACAATTAAATAAACACATTTTCCTGAAGCAATATAATAAAAAACAGAATCACTTCGTTTTAATCCAAAACTTTGAACAATGTGACTAAACTTTCCAAACCAAGCACGTGGAGATTGTGTGAGACCATAGAGAGAACGATGTAACTTACAAACCAAACTAGACTCCCCTTGAGCAACAAAACCAGGAGGTTGCTCCATATAAATTTCCTCCTCAAGATCACCATGCAAGAATGCATTCTTGATATCTAACTGATGAAGAGGCCAATGACGGATAGCTGCCATAGCAAAGAAAAGTCGAACAGTAGTCATTTTGGCCACAGGAGAAAAAGTATCACTGTAGTCAAGGCCATAGATCTGAGTATAGCCTTTTGCTACTAATCTGAGTATAGGCCACAGGAGAAGAGAACAAAGAGGCATTACCAGACATGTGATCAGAAGCACCTGAGTCAATAATCCATGGATTTTGACTTTCCACAGATTGTGAAATGCAAGCTGTTGATGAATTTGGGGTTATTGATGACTGTGCTAGATTACTGGATTTCAACCTCAAATATTCCTGATATTGTTCGTGAGAGAACTTGGGTTCAACCATTTCAGATTTGGAAAAATTGACAGTTTTATCAAGAAAACCGTGCAAAGAGTAGCAATTTTCCACTGTATGACCCATTCTCTTGCAATGAGTGCACTGAGGACGTCCTCTACCTCCATGTCCTCCTCTAGTGCCGCGACTTCCTCTTCCACGGGTAAAAATCATAGCAGAAGATTCAACAATTTCTTGATTATTTTTTCCTTTTGAGAGTTGGAACCTGTAAGAAAGAGAACACCCAAGATAGTCGGAAGGTTACTGGAAGGTGGTCGAAAGTCGTCGAGCGGCAGCAAAAAAAAAAGGTGACTGGATGGGGGACTGACGGTTGCCGAAAAGTGACCGGAAAGTGGCCGGACGGTGGTTGGAAAGTGACCAGACGATGGCCGGAAAATGACCGGACGGTGACCGGAAAATGGTTGGACGGTGACCGAAAAATGGTCGGCCGGTGACCGGAAAATGGTCGGCCGGTGACCGGAAAATGGTCGGACGGTGACCGAAAAATGGTCGGCCGGTGACCGGAAATGGTCGGACGGTGGCCGGACAGGCAGAGCAGGACCAACCTGCTCTGATACCAAGTTAAGAGAGTAAAGAAAATGAAAAGAAGATTTCTAATTTTGTGGGATACTTATTCCACTCTATGATCTCATATATATATATATATATATATATATATATATATATATAGGATTACAACATTTAAAACAACAACAACCAACTACTAACAACCACCAACTACTAACAACCACCAACTACTAACTACTAACCACTAACCACTAACTAATAATAATTCTAACAATGACGAAAGGTTATATCGAAATATATTATCTTGATTATGAGGATAGTTTTCTCCATTTTGCCAAAATCTCTATGATTCGTCTTTCTAACTATGGTTGCTATTTGTCATTAGCTTATCCATCAACTTGACATTAAAAGTGCCCTTTTTGATGATGAATTGGATGAGATCTACATAGAACAACCTTCTGAGTTTGTTGCTCATAGGAAGTCTGGTCTATTTTGCAAACTTAGATGGTTATGGGTTTCAAAATTTCCAAGAGCTTGGTTTGGAAAGTTGAACCATATTATGTAGAATTTTGGTGATGATGCTAAAATTTTCCAGCTGAAACAACATTTATTCAACTTTCAATCAAGGAACTTGTTTTTACTGAACAACTTCCTTGGGATAGAAGTGACTCAATGAAAGGAAGGTATTGTCCTTTCCTAAAGGAAGTATACTATAGATATTTTGGAAGAATTTGGCATGAATGATTGCATATCCATTGATAATCCTATTGAGCTAAAACGAAAGTTAATGGCAAAACAAAGTGAAATATATTCTAATCCAAACAAATATAGAAAATTGGTAGGAAAACTCATTTATCAACAATAACAAGACCTCATATTTCTTTTATAGTTGGGTTTGTTCATCAATTTATGCGAGCTCTTTATATTAATCATTGGAATGTTATATGTATTGCAAGGTATATTAAGAGAGCTCTAGTTCAGGGTTTGTTGTATGAAATACCCAAATATCTAGGTATTGTGATGCTGACTAAACAAGATGTCATGTAGATTGGAAATCTACTATTGGGTATTGTAAATCTATTGTAGGTTGTTAATATTATATCTTGGAAAAGTAAGAAATACAATGTTGCTGTACGGTATAGTGTAGACACAAAGTACAAGGCCATGGCCACAATCACTTTCTGATTGGTATGGATTAAACAACCTTTTCAAGTGTTAAGATTTTAGTGATATTCAACAAATGAAGTTGCATTTAGACAATTAGGCAGTCCTTGCATCATCTCTAACCCAATGTTTCTAGTAAAGCCTTGTCATTTTGATCGAGAGAAGCTAACGGGCTAAGGAAATTTCAATTGAATTAATTTGTCAACTCAAATGATTACGCAGCAAATGTCTTGACTAAGTCTTTAAATTCAATTCATATGTTCCAAGTGTCATGCATCTAATTTATATTTTCAGCTTGAGACGGAATCTTAGATTAAAACTTTAGATAATATATTATATGTCCTTCTTGTGTGTGTATATATATATATATATATATATATATATATATATATATATATATATATATATATATATATATATATATATATTCTCACAGAGTACTCATTGCTCCTTTTTTGGTATATTCCTTTTGAGGTGTTTAAGTTGAAGGAAGCAAAATTGAAAATGAGCTCAACCGAACTTATCTCCCACGAATGGAGGTTGTTAATTGCTATTTAGAAATATTCCTTCTGTGTTTTCTAGCTGATCAGCCAAAGTTATGGGTGCATTGGCTCCCTTGAGCGGAGTATTGGTATAATACCAATTTTCATGTGTACGGCACCTCTCCTTTTGAGGTGCTTTATGGCAGACAACCACTTGCGTTGAGCAGATTCTTGCCATGTAAACTAAGGGTGGAGGCAGTTCGTAGGATGCTGCAGGATAGTGACAAAGCCCCGTGACAATTGAAATATCATTTACAAAGGGCTCAAAATTTCATGAAAGCTCAAGCAGATCGCAAAAGGATGGATAGGCAGTTTGAGATAGGTGGGAGGATGAATTCAACATCAAGATTCAATTCCCTCATCTAAGCCTTGAGAACAAGAGTCTCGTGTGTAGGAGGGGATATTGATAGAACTGGGAACATCGGTCAAGAGATAGTGGAACGGTGCAAGGTGTGGAGAGTGTATTTGAGGAGAAAAAAAAGGACACCCCATAAGTCCCTATCAGCTTTCCAGATTAGAAATAATACCCTAGGCCTTTTTCTTTTTCTGAAATTAGGTTTCCCTGCAAATCTGCATTTTATGACGTATTTTTCCTTCCAATAGCTATCATTATTTATGAGAGTGTCAGTGAAGCAAAATGGCTGCAAAAAGGTGAACTGAAAATTATGTATGACTGCTTGTTGAGTCCTATTGCTCACAATGGCAGAATCATGCATTTTACAAAGCTTTTAAGAGTTTGTTTTGAATTCTATAATTGATAACTGCACTGTTAAAGGTCACTAGTTGTTTGATGCATTTTGTTGATTCACCCCCATCTTGTGTTTTTGCCAGGAAATTGTGCCGCTTAGGAAGATTTGTCGCAGGCCCGAAACTGATTACCGGTTACAGCAACTTCATGCCGTGAATGAGGCAGCACCTGTAGATCAGCAGAAGACTAGCGTTGATCCAGCCGCAAATGTTAATGCCATGAGGAGCACTACTGAGACAGTGCCAAAGCAGCTGATTGCAGCTAACATTCATATGGAGACAACAGTGGTGCAAACAAATGTTCCTCAACTTCCACAAAGTATGGATATGGATGTGGATCAAAAGAAAGCTGAAACAAATACTGATGTTCTAGCAGGAAACTCTACCATCACCCCTGGCAATACCCCATTCACTAACATCATTACTACAATCAGTGTTCCTCAAGTCACTAGTCAGACTCAGAACATGGTTGAATGAAAATAACTGCTTCATTTTTCCGGACTTGATGAGACTTGAGTATATTCTTAGTTTCTAAGAACTGTTGACTGTCTGGGTAGTTTATCTTCACCAAACAATGCTTAATAGTAAAATTCTCTTCATGTTTTATTCGAACCATAGAAATTAAAAAGAAAAAAAAATGAAGTTATACAATCATCGATAGAGCATCTTCTTTTTTCTTGCAAAAAGATGATAATCTGTCAATCACGTATTTTTTTTAGTTCGAGTAATTCTTATTTTAAAAGTAAGCAAATTTATTGTTTGTTTAATTTCTTTTTCACTTTTTATTTATTTATTTATCTATTTTTAAACAATTCCATATTATTCATCATTCTCTTGATTAATTTTTATTGAGTTTTTAAAATTAATTTCAAAACATGTTTAAGAAAAAGGTAACTCTTTCTTTTGCATTTCATAAGTTTTTCTTGTATTATTATATTCATTAAAAAAATTATTATTTCTGCGACTTATGGGTATTGGAATAATGTCTATGACAAATGTGCGGAACTGACTGATAAATTATTTCATATCAGTGAATATAGAAAATTGATTTTTACATTTATTACTAATTATAATAGATAATCGATTTTCACCTCATTATGTTTAGAATTGATTCTCGATTCTTCTATGTAATGTATTCTTATCTATATATGATTCCTCTCCTTGTGTATTTACCTCTTCCCAAGACACATTTCAATGACATCAAACAATAACATCAATTAGGAATCTCTTTTAGTAAGGAGTCTTGCATACATGTCTATCATCTAGATAATAAATACTACAATGAAAATAATTATGTAAAATGACAAGAGGTGACTTTAATTTATTTTTTTTAAACATACGCTTTCAAATCTTGGCAGAAATAAACATGTTCCATATTCTTTTTATATGGTTAAAAAGTATATTACTTTTGAAATAAACATGTTCCATATTCTTTCTATATGCTTAGAAAGTATATTACTTAAATAGAGGCTTACTTCGTTAGCACTTCAACTCACGAACAATCTCTCTTAACTCCTCCACATTTGTGTTTTGGGATTTGCTTGGAAATCCAAGAGGAAGGTTCAACGATGAGGTAGAGTGTGGGGAATTTACCAAAAAACCGTAACATTTTGATGGCAAAGGACCCACGTCGAAAACCTGACAGAGGCGAATATGACCCATCATTTTTCAGAACGTGCCACAGCAATTTAATTGGGTCAAGACATGAAAAATAGGTTAAGAAGAGGAAGAGGAAGAGGAGGGAAAGGGGACGTCATGATGAATCCCTTGGTTATAAATGAAAATGAATGCCCTTGTCCTTATATCCTGATTCTTTCCATTCAAAGATCTTTTAGGAATATGGACTATAGGCTCCACAACGTGATTTTTATTTTCACAATTTTTAATGTTAGATATAAGTTTGATGTTAATACGGTATATATAAAAATTTACTTTAAATATAATAATTGATGTTAATTTATGTAACTAATTTACGTTAGTTACATGGAAAATTATCATTAATTTATATCAGAAAAAAATATGAAATAGATGTAAAAAAAGTTTCAAAAATTAAAAATTAGTCCATAATTTACATGGGACTAGATCATATTATATATAAATTTATGTTAATTATGTCATAGTTTAATGTAAATTTATTGTTGAGTAATCCAAATGTGAGTTAAGTTCTACATTGAGTAAGAATGAGAAAGTTGAGTAACATATAAAGAAATATGACTCATAATATGTCTTAAGGTTTTAGGTTGAGAGTCATGTTAATCCTTATGTCGATTGAGTTCATGTCTTCTTGATGTTGTTTCTCTCCTGTAAATCTTCCTTTAAAGACCCAACAAGTGGTATCAGAGCCAATGATTGATCAACAATTTAAGAGTGATATTTGTATCGAAAGTCTTCTTGACAGAGAGGGTAAGGTAAGCGTGTCGCGTTAGGGTGAACGGGTTGATAAGTAATTTAAGAGTGATATTTATATCGAAAGTTTTTCTGACCTTATTAGGGTAAACGAGTTGATCGGTAATTTAAGAGTGGTCTTTATATCGAAAGTCTTTCTGACAGAATAGGTCAGGTAAGCGTGTCCTGTTAGGATAAGAGTGGTCGAGTTGATCGGTAATTTAAAAGTGGTCTTTGTATCAAAAGTCTTCCTGACAGAGTGAGCTAGGTAAGCGTGTCCTGTTAGGATAAGAGTGGTCTTTGTATCGGTAAGAGTGATTTTTGTATCAAGAGATTTCCTGACAGAGTGTGTCAGGTAAGCGTGTCTCATTAGGGTAAGAGTGATATTTGTATCAAAAGTCTTCTTGACAAAGTGAGTCAGGTAAGCGTGTCCCATTAAGGTGAACAATAGTATAATCCAAGTGTGAGTTAAGTCCCAAATTGAATAAGAATGAGAAAGTTGAACAACATATAAGGAAGTATGACCCATAATCTAATATCTTAAAGATTTTGGGTTCACATTGAGTAAGAATGGGAAAAATGAGCAACATATAAGGAAGTATGACCTATAATCTATTGTCTTAAAATTTTGGGTTGAAAGTGGTGTCCCGTTAGGGTGAACGACAATATAATCTAAGTATGAGTTAAGTCTCATATTGAGTAAGAATGTAAGCAACATATAAGGAATTATCACCCATAATCTAATGTCTTAAGATTTTTGGTTCACATTGAGTAAGAATAAGAAAGTTGAACAACATATAAGAAAATATGATCCATAATCTAATGCCTTAAGATTTTGAGTTGAAAGTAATGTCTGATTAGTGTGAATTAAATCCCACATTGAGTAAGAATGTGAACAACATATAAAAAAATATGACTCATAATCTAATACCTTAAGATTTTAGGTTAAAAGTGGTGTCAATTCTTATGTGGGTTGGACTCATATCTCATTGATGTTGTTTCTCCCCTGTGAATCTCCCTCTAAAGACCCAACATTTATGTCGGGTATTGACACACCCAGCGTAAATTTCGTCCTTTTTTTAATATAGGTTTGTTTTGTCTCACGTATTTTAATCACAAACAATCCAAATTTTTAATAGACATTAATTCAAAAATATAATACAAACTACAAAAGTTAAACTAGTACAAAGAGTAAACTACTTAAAAGCTAAACATTACAAAACTAAAATACAAAGACTAAACTAGTACAAAAGCTAAATTATCTAAATGTTAAACTACATAATACAATATAATATAATACGAGACAATAACTTATAAACTAAGTACTAGAAATATTGAACGAAAAACCTTGCTTATTGCACTTTAATTTGTGTAATATCATGTTCGATAGTGGAGATAAATATTGAAATACCTGAAACATTAATTTGAATTTCGTTAACATGCAATATGCATAAAGATAAATCAACTTAACAAATGTTGAAAGCAATTATCTTCGTCCAAAAATTAGTTATACCCGCACAAATTATGAGTCTCATCTAATACATGATATAGTAGTGACATTCAAAGTGGTATGTTTGCTTATTACATTGAATTGAAAATCAAAACATAATGTTATTTTCAAAATTTAAATACCAAGAATAATTATGATGTTTATTTATATAAATAAGTTTCTAACCTTGGGAAAATAAAGTGCATATTCTTTATTCTGAGTCTTCCACTTAGAACATTAATTCAAAATACGATTCTAATTGAAATAAAGTCAGATATTATTCATACGTATGTGTTTTCTTAAAATTTTCTTCACTAGTGTCATATATCATATCTTTAAATTATCATTCATCCCTTCTTCAAAATTTTATGTTGTTTAATATTTCTCTATGTCATGTCCATATTGTATAACTCTTAACAATACCATAGATAAACAAACAATCACGTATATCCCAAGTTAATGACAAATTTGATTTAAACAACGAATGCATGGACAATAATATGTCAATTTGATATGTTTTCCATTTTTACAAACAAATTTTAAAAATTCTTCAACTCTTTTTTCGTACTCTTCACTAATATGACGTGCATTCATTCAATTTCGATTCATACCTACCTATGTTATAAATTTTCATCACTCTTAGCGATTCAAACACAAATTCATATTTTTTTTAAATTAATATACAAATAACAAAAAATGTGAGATTCAAACAACTAAACCATGAAAACATAAGAGTGCAGTGTATAAACATAAATGTACTCAAACGAATAACGCATAAAATTAAATTACAATAATTTAATTTTAATAACAATTGAGTAAAGATATTTATGCAATAATGTGATTGAGATCTTCAAAAATAATCTCAAATTTAATCGGAGAAAAATATCATCAACCACGAATAAGACACAATGTGATATTTTTGTTGTTTATTATTGGTCGAAATATATTATGGGAGGAGTTAAAATAGTCACTGCCACCGTCGTTACTTAAAAACCCTTACGGGCACAAGAAATAAAAAACTCTAGATGAGATGAAAACACGACTTTTCTTTACATACTGTTATAAAATTGCATCCTTTATTTATAAAAATGCCACTATTTTTTTTAAGGAGGTTATTTTCAGGTCCCACGAGAATTGAATGAACTAAAAACCTTTATGGACTAGTGATGTATGTATTTTCTTCTTTCAACAAGGAGTAATTATACACAGTTTTTGGTAAAGACGTGAGCAGATACAAAGTATAACTATATATACATATATCAACCTGATATTTTAATTTCTCCCATAACCGAAAGGAACTTTTAGAACATTCCATCTAGAATGATCACTTCATGAAAGATTGGTCCCAACCAACACACTCTTGAAAGTGGCAGAACAAAGACGAAGGCACAAGAGGGTTGATCATTCCTCCACTTTTTCTTCAGACCACAAGACTTCTTTTACAGAGAATTATTTGAACTTTGATCTTCTTTTGTGCTCCTCAATTTATTACTATTATTCTCAACTGATGATGCGCTTGATAAGCCTGGCTGCTGAATGATTTTGGTTTCAGTTTTCTTTCCACTTGGCCCTCCCACCATGGTGTCCATTGCAAGCTGGCCAGAATAAAGAAACAAACCCACAGAGTTGATGCCGTAGACAAATGTGGCAAGATAGCACAACCCATTTATTATTGTCCTGTCACAAAATATCATATCATTGTAATATGATTGACAAAATGAAACCATAAATCTCTAAAGAGAGTTAAGTTATGGAAGTTACCTTATGGTGATGGTTATCTGGCGCACCTGAAAAAACAAGCCATTTTCATTGTCACTAGATTGATATATATATTCATGTGAGGCTTTCACTGCACTAACCTCCAGCAAAAAGGAATAACTAAGAAGAGAAATCTGATAGAAAAGGAAGTGATGCTAACCGAGAAATGATCTGAAAGTGTTTGGCGACCGAGAGAAGCCTCAATAGAAGTGGTGAACCTGTAGAGAAGAACAGCAATGACACCTGCTATAATTGCCCCTAACAATGCTTCATCAGGTGAAGGTGGAGTCTTAGCTTTTATGGAACTTAACCTCATAGCCTTCAACTTATCCATTGACTTCTTCACCCCTGAAGACCTAAATTTCTACAACCATCCAACATTAATTAATGTTGAACTTTAATGCTTACCATCCACATAAAATTATATCATATCACTGTAATACCAAGATTCACGATTTTTAAGAGAACATTTATTATTATAGAATGCTAAAATTCACAAATGACTACTTTTCATTAGTTGACATGCTAGCAATTGTCCAAAGTGTATACAGTATATTTAATGAAAAAAATTCAGGTGTTTTTTTTTTTTTAATTCGTGTATAATAGTATACGTTATATATTTTTTTAATAGTTATTATGCTTTGACCTTATACTTAATTTTAAATATAAGTGAAATTATAGTTATTTTTTTATTAGTTACCTTCCAATTTATATAAATAATCTATATTATATATTAAAAATTTAATTTAAATACATTGATAATATAGTTTTAATTTATTACACTATCCAACAGATAGACATATATAAATATAAGGTTATTAAAACTTATAATTAACCAATTAAAATTCATCTAGTAATTTGTAATTAGCACGACAAATAAAGTTTAGGTATACAAATAAAAATTTACTATTAACCATTCAATATTTGAGAGGACTCCATGCAAAACAACTACTAAAACTCTAAGAATAGCAGAACAAGAATGGCGACACAAAACATATAAAAGAAACAACCTTAAAGTAGACGAGGAAGAAAAGAGGATACCAGTTCTTTGGCACGTTTAATGCGGCGTTGGACGGTGCGAAAGAAGAAGACAGTGATGGCTCCAGTGAGAAGCACACTGGAAGCAACCTGAGTGGTGGAAGGGTCATCTGTGAAGGGAAGAGGAAAAGGAGCAGAAAAAGGGAGTTCAATGGGGCCAACGTCTTGTGCTGTGAGGTGACCAAGCCATGCAGCAGGAGGAATGGCTGAAACAGTTGTTGGGGAGAAGGGTCTGTGGAGAAAGTGAAGAGATGGTGATGAAGGGTGGTGATGGTGAGTGGTGAGTGAGAGAGGAACAGTGGAGAAGAGGAGGTGGTGGTGGTGAGAGTGCAACATTGTAGAGTGAATGATCCTTGTTAATTCTGTTCCTACCTTAACTCAACATAAACATGGATTTGGTTCCTGTGTTACTCTCAGGCTTGTGTGGAAATATCTTCGACCATTCGGATTTTAGTGGAGAATATTTCAGTATGCAAAATATCTCATCTATTATGGAATGGATATTTAGGGTAGAAGAGAAGACAAGGGAATTTTTTTTCTTGGCACTTTAGAGAAGAGTGGATATTTTAATAAATGTTTTCAAGACTGTACATGTCATTCAACTTGTTAAGATGTTGAGTTGGATTTAATTAAATTATTTTAACAATTAAAAAATTTTAAAATACACAATATCATACTTTTTATAATATTAAAACCTAAATAAAACATAAATTTATGGTTTTTTAATATTTAAACTAATCAATACTTGTCTTGTTTAAATTGAAAAATTATACCAATATTTATTATTTGATAAATTTAAATATAAAAATATAATTTAGATTATTTTTACTTTAAGAACAATAATTAAAATTTATTATTATTTTTTAACCAATTTAACCCCAATTCACCGTGGATTTCCTTTTAATTTGATCGAACTGATTTGGGTAATCATAATTTAAATATACTCATCCCAAAAATAATATATTAAAAAAATTCAAATAATCTCTCTATAAATTTATTATTTATATATAAAATTTAATAAAAAATTTAACTAATAGAATATAATTATTTTTCTTTTATTTATTTTATTTACTTTTTATTATTTTTTTTCTATTTTCCTTTTTTTCTTTTCTTTACTTATTTTCTTTCACTCTATCTTATTTTTCCATAAAAATAATATATTCAAATTTGATAAGGTTAATATTTTATTATTTCTGAAAAATAAAAATATTTAAATAATTTAAAAATATGATAATCTAATATATTATATTTGAAAAAAAATATTATATCATAAATTTAAGATATTATAAATATTATTGTTATATTATAACTATTTAAAAATTGAATATTTTATTTTAAATTATTTTTCAATAAATATTTTAAAAAATTATCTAATCAACTAATTATCATAACCTAACCTAATTATAATTAAATTAATAAATAAAAAATACATTTAAATTATAATATTTTTTTAATTAGATGAATAATTATTTATTATGATAAAATAATTTTAAATTAATTATTTACATATCATAAATAAATTATTTATTGCAATATTAAATAAATTTATATATTTTTTATCATAATTTTAAATAATTAGTTAATATTTTATAATTTAGTTTTTTGTTTTAAAATATTTATTTTAACATATTTTTTATTAAATTTTAATACAGTAGTTTAAGTAGAAAAACGAGTGAGAGATGAAAGAGAAAGAAAATAAGAGGTAAAACAAAAAGAATTATCAAGAGGAGAAAACATATATATGAATACATGTCTATTTGCTAAATAAATTAATAAAAATTATATTTGAATAATTTTTTATTTTTAAATATATTATTTTTAAGATTAATTAAATAACTCAAACCTTAATTAAAGATGACGAACCAAGTTAGGTTTGATTGATCGTCTGTGCAATAAGGCACAGACAAGGAGCGACTCTTGGTAGGCTTCCAGCGGAAGAGTCATATGAATGAACTAAAACACATCCAAAGCAGAAGGATCCTACAGAGACTGTATATGTATGAGACTATACAGTTTAAGAATAACTTAAGAGAATTGATTGGTACTACCTATACTAACAAAATGCATTTATTACATAAGAACTTCATAGTTAAAGTCTCGATAGATTAAGGTTAGAAGCGAAGAGCAGTACAGACATGTTAGTCTGTTTTAAAAAAAATAAAAGTAAAATATTATAATTAAATGTATTATATTTTTTTATGTAATGAAATATTTAAATATATTATAATATTATAATTTAAATTATAAATATTAACAAATTAGATTTAAACTATTGATTGTAATGAGATATTTTAACATATAAATATAGTAATTTTTTAATTTTTTTAATACAAATATTAATTAAAAATTATTCATATAATTAAATATATATTTTTTAAAAGTACATATAAAAAAATATATTAATAGACTCGACATGTAACGTGCTAGTCTGCCTACCTTAGACGAGATATATTGATATTTATAACTCATCTTGATTATGACAAATCGGTTTGTCTTATCCCATTTTTTATAGACTAAAAATGAGATAGAGGGATTCATTTTATTATTACTAATTTTAATATTTATCCACAATGGGTATTAAGGTGACTATAAATACAAAACTATTTTTTTTTATATTCTACCTCTTAAGTTGGTGAAGAAGTTATTTATTTGTAAAACTCTTTCAAAATGGATGAATCCATTCAACTTGACCGGACCTGCTAACCAAGTAAAATAATTTGATGCTCAAGTATGACCTACATTTTAAAATAAACCAAAATTTTTAGTTTAACATATGCTTATGTTAGATAACAAGCTAATAGGTCGATTTTTGTTTGATTGATTTTTTTAAAATATTAATATATTTATATTAAACCAATTAATTAAAAATATTTAAATAAAAATAAAAATATATTTTTAAAATTTAAATTTTATTAATGAAATTAATTTTTACTTAAAATATAATAATTTAATATATAAATTATAAGAAAATGCATTTATTCAATCTTAAAATAAAAATTAAAAACTTATTCTTAAGTGTTATTATTTATTTTATAATAATTTTTTAATTTAAAATAATAATTAATTTTAATAATTAGATCTATAACATATTATTGTTATAGATTTATTTTGATATTTACTTTAATAATTATTATTTTATAAAATAGATAACTCATAAGGTTAACCTAACCAAAGTCCATATAAATGATCTAATCAGATCGAAACCCGACCTATCTCTCAATTTTTTCAAAGCTTACTTATTAAATTTAGGGATTGCAAAACGATAGGGATGACAAAACGAGTCCCAGTCCAACGAGTCGACAAATATAATAGGGTGGATTAGTACTTTCAGCTTGCGACCCACTTTACTAATAAATTTTTTATTGTGATACAATAAATAGGCAACAAATAATATAAAAATTTGTGAAAAAAAAATTCTAAAAGTCTTATTGTCTCACTAAGAGAATTCAGAACGTCTCGATCTCACTACTAAGAATTCAATAAGTCTCATTTTTACTTACACTTACATCATGGGAAATACTTTAACACTTTTCTTTTTCAAGCACAAATCCTCTCTCTCGTCTCATCTTGCTTGATCATCTCCTTCTTGCTCATTTTTTCTTCATAAGATAAAAATCATATATATTTCATACTTTTTTACTCTCTTTTATATTTGTTACTTTTTTAAGGTTTTATCTTTTTCTCTTAGTATTTTTCTCTTTCACGACTTATTTATTATGTTTTTCTATTTTTGCTTTTGTTGAAATTTTGAGTAAGAAAAAATTATGAAGTTTTTTTTTTTAATTTTAAATAGGAAATGGATGGTTCAATTAGTAAACCTAAACCTACTTGTGATATTGATAATGTCGTCAATACAAATAAAATTGAGAATGAGATTAAGTTTCAACATATTGAAAATAAAAATGAATTTAAAAATGTTAAGTCAGACATCAAGAAGGATAAATCTAACATATCTTATTGTTATAAGTTTTTTACTAAGATTGGTATGTGTAAGGATGGAAAAGAAGGAACTGTATATAATGATTGTAACACAAAATATGTAATTGGTGGAAAAAAATATGAAATTTCTCACTTGAAGCGTCATATTAAAAAATGTGACAAGATCAAAATTGAAAATGTGGGTCAAATGATTTTAGACATGCAAGGGAAGTTAAAGTAAAAAAATATATCAGATGATGTCTTGTGAGTTGCGTGCTAATTTAATTATCAGATATGATTTACCTTTTAAACTTGTTGAGTATCCAGAGCTTAAGACTTAGATAAATTATTTGAATCTTGATGCAATGTTAGTTTTTAGGAATATTGCTAAGAGTAATGTATTGAAAATATTTATAAAAGAAAAGAATATAGTTAAAGAAGAGTTGACTACCATTTGTGGTAGGATTTGTTTAACTTTTGATTTATCGGTATCTTGTATTATTGAAGGTTATATAAGTTTGACAACTCATTATGTTAATTTAAATTGGAAGCTAAGTAGCAATATTCTTAACTTTTTCCATTTACCTCCACCTTATATTGGATTTGAGTTGTCTAAGAAGATAAATGAATTTTTGCATGATTGAGGAATAGAGAAAAATATTTTTTTAATTACTTTTAGTAATGATGTTTAAAAGACATTAAAAAATCAACTTGTTTTGCAAAATTGGTTGATATGTGATGGTGATTTCTTTCATGTGCATTTTTGTGCACACATTTTAAATTTTAAATTTGATTGTTCAATAAGGATTGAATGTACTTGATAATGCATCAGATCAAATTAGTGAGATCATCAAATATGTTAAGGATTTAAGAGTAGAACGATTAAATTCAAACAATGTTTTCAAAATTTATTGACATTGATATGTCAAGTGGGTTGTGTTTAAATGTTCCTACAAGGTGAAATTCAACTTATCTAATGCTTCAAACACTACAAGAAAATCGTATATTTTTTATGGATTTTTACCGACGGATTTGTAGCACGAAAAATGAGTCATTACTAATGGAAATTACCGACGGATATATCCGTCGGTAAATCCGTCGGTAAATTATCAATTAATTACCGAATGATATATCCATCGATAAATTCGTCGGTACATTAACAATTATTTATCGACGAATATTTTTGTCGGTAAATCTATCGGTAAATTAACAATTAATTACCGATAGATATATCTGTCGGTAAAATTATATAATAATTACTTAATATATTCTAATAAATTAATTATTCAACTAATTAAAAAATTAAATATTTTTTATTTAATAATTTAATTTAATCATAATTAGATTAATTTATAATTATTTATTAAATAATTAAAAAAAATAAATATTTAAATATATAAATATAATTTATTTGTAAATTATTATCAAAAAATTCTAGTAGCTTAGTGGTTGGAGTATCAGTTTCTAACTCTAAGGTATCTGAGTTTGAATATTGTCGATGACAATTGTTTTAATCAAATAATAATTCAAAGCTATAAAAATATAATGAGGATAAATAAATAATAAAAATATAAAGGGGAGGGGGTCCGAAATAAAATATTTACAATAACCCTATTTTTAACGGATTTTTGTTATTACCGACGTGAAAGTATTGTTAAATACCAACGTGTTCAAATGTTCTGAAACACAAACATGTTGATATTTCATGCTCAAAACCTCTTTGATATAAGTTAATTACTTTAAGTCAATTATTTTTTATGAATTTGCCACCTTGATGTATATTTGGATGAGTCAATGTTGAATTTTGATTTTATAAAACATATAGGTGTTCTACAATAATAGAAGAATAATAACCAACATTTTTTTATCTTTCATGTTTGGATAGGGATTTGTTATGCATAACTATTACTACGAGTTGATTCTTAATCTTTATTTACTATTGGTTCTAAGATTCTTAATAAATACAAAACTCGTCTTTTAAATGAGAATGTAGAAACAATAATTTATATTTCAAATTGAAAAAATTCTAGTAGCTTAGTGGTTGAAGTATCGATAACTCTAAGGTGCTGAGTTTGAATATTGTCAATGACAATTGTTTTAATCAAATAGTAATTCAAAGCTATAAAAATATAATGAGGATAAATAAATAAATAATAAAAATATAAAGGGGAGGGGGTTCGAAATAAAATATTTACAACAATCCTATTTTTAACGGATTTTTGTTATTACAGACGATGAAAGTATTGTTAAATACCAACATGTTCAAATGTTCTGAAACACAAACATGTTGATATTTCATGCTTAAAACCTCTTTGATATAAGTTAATTACTTTAAGTCAATTATTTTTTATGAATTTGCCAACTTGATGTATATTTGGATGAGTCAATATTGAATTTTGATTTTATAGAACATATAGGTGTTCTACAATAATAGAAGAATAATAACCAACATTTTTTTATCTTTCATGTTTGGATAGAGATTTGTTATGCATAACTATTACTACATTTTTTATCTTTCATGTTTGGATAGAGATTTGTTATGCATAACTATTACTACAGTTGTTTATTAATCTTTATTTATTATTGGTTCTAAGATTCTTAATAAATACAAAACTCGTCTTTTAAATGAGAATGTAGAAACAATAATTTATATTTCAAATTGAAAACATAATTTGTATGGAGGTAATTTATTTAATTTAAATATTATTTATTTTTATTTTTTATAATCTTTTTTATTTTTATTAATTTTTTTTAATTTCATGTGTAGTTGAAGATGAGGAAGAGAATGAAAAAGTGACAATTTTTTCAAATATTAGATCTAAAGATCTGAATTTGTGAGAATGAATGAGAAAACAAAAAATGAGAAATTTTATATATATAAAAAAGATATAATAAATTTGACTATGGATCCATCGGTTCCATTAGCCATTAGTACGCATTCTTAATTAAATTAAATATATTTTCACATGTTTATTTATCGACACGGACAGACTGCCCGACATACAAGGTCACGGGCCTGACATACAGGACTGTAGGCCCGAGATACAAGGTCACGCGCCTGCCATCACATTAAATTAATTAGTATTTACAGAAATTTTAAATATGTTTGCAATATTATATTTACAGATTTTCTTTTAAAAGTATTATATTTATTATTGATGTTAATCAAGTATATAAAAAATTTAAACTATAAATTAATTTTTTTAACTTCAAAGAGTGACATGTACTTAGTTTCTATTAAATATATTTATTTATTTATTTTAATTAATAAAATAAAATTATATTAATAATAGTTTATAATATTAAAATTTGTAGGAACCACATGGTCCTGCAGCCCCTCTTCCCTCTGTCACTGCGTAAAATAAATGGTCGTATAGATAGCCCCTTGTTCCTCTGTCACGTGATAAATGAGTTAGATAAGATTGAGGTGAGTGGTGTGGAGAGCTGTAGCTAATAAATATGTTTGGCCCTATAAAACCAGTAGGAGTTGAATGTTGTGACAAACAAAAGAAGGTATCAAAACATGGCTCCAACAACACCAAACTCCAACCTTAACGTAGCCATGTTTCCATGGTTTGCCATAGGTCACATCACTCCATTCGTCCACCTTTCAAACGAGTTAGCCAAAAGGGGTCACAGAGTCACCTTCCTGATACCCCCAAAAGCCCTAATCCAAGTCCAACACCTCAACAGCTACCCTCACCTCATCACATTCTACCCTCTCACCATTCCTCACGTAGAAGGCCTCCCTCATGGCACCGAGACAGTCTCAGATATAGACCCTTCCCTGACCAAGTTAGTAGTCACAGTCATGGACAAAACCCGTGACCAAGTGGAGCAAATAATCGGTGCAAAACAACCTGATTTTATATTCTTTGATACTGCTCATTGGATACCTCAAATAGCCAAAAAGCTTGGCATCAAATCCATTTTTTACAGCGTGATTTGTGCAGCTAGCTTGGCCATAGTGTATGTGCCGGCAAGGAATGTTCCCAAAGACAGGCCAATTACCGTGGAAGAACTAAGCCAACCACCAGAAGGGTATCCTTCTTCCAAATTAGTGCTTACTGGCCCTGAAGCAAAGTTATTGTTGTTCATTTCAGCAACCTGTGGTGAAGGAAACATAAGAGTATATGATCGCGTAACAACGGCCTTCCGTGAAAGTGATGCTTTAGCCATTAGAACAACTAGGGAAATGGAGGGTAGCATTTGTGATTACCTTGGATCACAGTATGGGAAAAAAGTGCTTTTGACTGGGCCAGTGTTGCCAGAGGATGCTGAGGGGAGGTTGGAAGAAAATTTGGCTAATTGGCTTGATGGGTTTGCACCTGGGTCTGTTGTGTATTGTGCATTTGGGTCTCAGATGATTTTGGAGAAAGAGCAGTTTCAGGAGCTTTTGCTAGGGTTTGAGCTATCAGGGTTGCCTTTTTTGGTTGCTCTCAAGACTCCTAAAGGGTGTGAGAGTCTGGAAGAGGCATTGCCTGAGGGGTTTGAATCTAGAGTTAAAGGGAGAGGGATGGTTTCAAGGGGTTGGGTTCAGCAGTTGCTGATCTTGAAGCACCCATCTGTGGGGTGCTTTGTGAACCACTGTGGGTTTGGGTCTATGTGGGAGTCTTTGATGAGTGACAAACAGATAGTGTTAGTTCCACACTTGGCTGACCAAATTTTGAACACCAAGTTGCTTGTTGGGGAACTTGAAGTGGCAGTTGAAGTGAAGAAAAGAGAAGATGGGTGGGTTTCCAAAGAGAGTCTGAGCCAAGCCATCAAGTCAGTGATGGATGAAAAAAGTGAGGTTGGTGCTAAAGTCAAGAACAACCACAAGAAATGGAGGGATGATGGAGGCAATCAAAAGCTACTGAATAGCTACATTGATACGTTTGTCCAAGAACCTGAAGATTTCTCCCCCACTGAATGATTGTTTTTTATTTCCATGTGTTTTTCAAAATAATAATCACATGGTCTCATTACATGTGTTCTTCAAAATAATAATCACATGGTCTCTTTAATGTCCTAGCAAGTAGTCTGCTTGTCTTTATGTCATTGGCTGTCTTTATGTTACTGCAGATGTGACATATTTTTTGTAAAAAGAAAGAATATAAGGTAAAAAAATAAAATTATAAATATATATTTAAATATATTAAATTATTATTAAATTTAAAAAAATAAAATAATAAATTATACGAGAATTTCAAACGAAATTAAAAGAATAAAATTATAAATATATAAATAAATATATTAAATTCTTATTATATTTAAAGGGTGAACATTTTATAAGAAATATAAAATTGAAAAAATTATAATCCTCTCCGTTTTTAAGAATATCTCTCACTGTTTATCATATAGCTCAAATTTATATTTTTTTTAGAAATGAAGGAAATTTATTAAAAAAAAATCTTTTATTTATCATAATTTTTTAAACACAATAGTTGCTTTTCAAACACAATTTGTGTTCTATACTTTACAAGTTTGTTTTCTTAAATTTTCAATTCATGGATCCACCTTTACTTTAGCTTGAAGAGGAAATGAGTTTTCATTCTGCCTCGGGGCTTCGGTCATACATTTTAAATTTTGTGCGAGTTTCTGGCTTTTCTTTCTGTTTATATATTTATAGGTAAATTAGAAATTAATTCAAAATATATTGACGTGATTCAATGATCAATAAACACCCAAGTAAACTTGGCTTAATTTACTCTCTCTATCTGCATATCCTTTATTTTTTATGCATCTTCAATAAATGACGTGTTTAAAACAATATTAATTTAGAGAATTGAACAAGAATCTATGTTTGAGTTAAAGGTAATTTTACATAGATTAAAAATAATCATAAATATATTTTTAAAGTTATTTTATTAATATAATTTCAAAAAGTTTTCAAAAATGTGTAAATTATTTTACCAAATTTAATTTTGATTTTAAAATATATTTAAAAATATAGTACTAATTTTTCATAGACGAGACAGATGTCCATCCATAAAATAGGGCCACCCAGTGGATGAATTCAACTGATGCAAAAATTGTGTAGGTATAAATACAACTCCGTACTAACTGTTAAGGTTCCAAAATAAAACTCCTAACAGTTCCAACATAAAACCAATTGGCAATTTAAACCATACCAAATGACATGAGGTAGCGATGTAAGACTTTCAACACACCCCCTCCAACGAAGCCTGTCGGACCATGACATGAGGTAGCGATGTAAGACTTTCAACACACCCCCTCCAACGAAACCTGCCGGACCATGACATGAGGTAGCGATGTAAGACTTTCAACACACCCCCTCCAACGAAGCCTGCCGGACCAGGCAAATGGTACTTTTGACCCAACTAAAGGGTAATTTTTGGCCCATAACAATAACCGAAAAGATGATAGACTTTGACTCTGATACCATGTTAAAGTTCCAACATAAAACCAATTGGCAATATGTGGAGTAACCTATAACATGTATTTAAACCATACCAAATGACATGAGGTAGGCTATATGAGAGCTTCAACCCTAACATTTTTTTCATATTTATTTACTATTATCTAAAAGATGTTATTATTAGATGGATGAGACGGTCCCCATAACATCAAACAATTTCATTGTGTATTAACATCAATGACTACCTGGAATATCCATGAATCCAATTATAGAAATTACTCTTCTTTTTTTCGGTTCAACGTTTATCTAACTGGATTCAAATAGGTAGTAAATATGGGGTATGGTAATATAACCCTCAGTAATTTCACCCTAAACAAAATTATAAGATTAGATAAATATATCTAATCGATTACAGGAATATAAACGATCTATTATAAATATAAAACAATTTATATTTATATTTACTAAATTTATATTTATATTTATAAAAATAATTATATGATAATTACCATTTTTTTTAATTTATCCATTCCAATAACAAAAATATTTTGACCATTACACTAAATAAATTATTATTCAATTTTTTTACATTCAATTACATCAATTAGATCGGTTACAATAAATTCACCAAAATCCTTTTAACTTTTAAACCTACTATCTTTCTCTTAATCCAAACACCCTCCCAATCCACTCTAAATCACCTCAAATCCCCATCCCTATCTAAACACAAGCACAGAGTATTAAATGAAGTGACATAGGCCACTAAGAAGGACACTATCCAATACGGTTCTTGAAAAGAAAATTGACCTTTTGGAGAGAATTAGGATTCCTCCTAGCAGTAACCTGGATGAGTGCACCATCAAGAAGCATGCGTTGCAGTACTCTTGCTATGTTCCTAGTGTCATCAATGCCAAGATGATGCCTTCCCATTAATGGTATTTGCAGTTCCTTCATCATTGTAATCATTCCTGTGGCCTGATACCCGTTATAAAGAACAGCACATATTAAGTTATAACTAAGGATTAATACAAATAAGGAGGGTAAAGAAAAAATTTGAACCCAGTCCAGGTTTAAGATGAATCATGCTCATTTAGATAGAAGGGGCATTTTTATTTTGCTAAAAGACCTGATGCCAGTGCCAGAGCAAGTTAAAAAAAACTTCATTCATGTACCACATTGTTGCCAGACATCATTCTTAATGCCGAATCAGTTATTAGGACTGTCATGAACTCAAAATTTGTTGTTAGATTGTACATGAATGAATTTATACTTATTTATTTTAACATGCAAAAGCCCATTGGGTAATCGATAATAATGAGCAAACCCACTTGACCTTAGGCAGCAATATAAGTTTATTTCGCATCAAGGGCTGAACTGCATACTTCCAATTAGTAACTTTGATACCATTACCATGTCATGAATCAACTCTCCCCAAGTTTAAATTGTTAGGCGAGGGTCCAGAACAGTTTTATATATCTATACTCTTAACAGAGAGAAACTAGGTATATGATTACAACTCTTCTATTTATCCCTTTTCTCCCTCTTATTTCTACTTGAATGCTTTATTAGGCTTAAAACAAACAATGATTAGGCCTACCATGTGCTGGAATTTGATTTTATTTCAAAGAATCAGGGAGGTGAGAATTGAACTTTATAGCACATGATCACCAAGCTTTGATACCATGTCATGAACAAACTCTCCCAAAGGTTTAAGTTATTAGGCAAAGGCACATGACTGTTTTCCTTTTTTATATCTTTAAAAGAAAGAAAATAGGTAAAGAATATGAATTATATATATATATATATATATATATATATATATATATATATATATATATATTTAAACTGCAAGGATTACAGAGCCTCTCCATCTGTTTTTTCTTCCTCATCTGCACACCCCCCACCCTTGTCTTCTAATTTTGTTTTCCTTTTACCAGGCTAAGTGGTATCATAGTCAGCCTATTTAGGTCATAACAAAAGTCCTCATTTTCTTAGTTTCTTCAATTCTTACCACTAAAAAAGAACAGAACAAATGGAAAGCATGGTTATTTTTCACTATGTAACTGGACTTGGTGAGGTTGACTGACCGGGGAACAAAGTAAAATCTAAATACATAAGGTCAAATCAATTTCATAATTTCTTAGGTTAATTATCCAAATTATCAACCTCAAGTTGATATTAACTCAATGGCACCTACCTAGTGTTGCTGCCCTAACTAAACATTTTATCCAGAATCAGATAGAATTTCCTTGGAAGCATTTGCCCTAATTTTGTTAATCATGATGGAAAAACAAATAAATACATCTATTACACTCTTCTACCAATTCTGAACATTTGAAGAACTCACCCTCCTATTATAAAAGTTCAAATATAAATCTTTGAGATTAACCCACTCCATAAAATATGGAGGAAGCTTTATCTTTGACACTTCACATTGCTGAAGGACCTTAGTTTTCAGATCCCAATTTCCACTGCAAAAGCAAAAGATTTTGATGTAGAAGAACAAAGTCTGTTATTCTAGTTCTAGATATACAGGGAGGAAACTAGTGCCCCATTAGAAATAAGAAAAAGAAAAAAGTTATAAAAGGTAAACCGTAAGTAATGATATTTACCAAGTTACAAATGCTGCATTATTAAGTTCTGCACCCATCCATAACTTATTTCTCATCAACCAAACTCCAAATTGTTGAATAACCTCCGTAAATGGTATTGCTGTGTCATGCCAAACTCTGGAAAATAAATTAATTAGCATGTTTATATTGGGGAAGTCGCTGTAGCACTGTAGGTCGCAGAAGTAGGTAATAATCCCTTTGGTAACTAATACAAAAAAATTATTTTCAGTGCACTGGCTAATAGCTATTTATTTCACCAGTCTAACTCGTTCATCAGTTATCAGATATTTCAAATCATAAATATTCCAAATGTTGCTACTGCCAATATTAAATCACTAAATGAAGAAGGGGACTGGAAAATTTACTTGCTTTTTAGATTGTTACTGGTAGAAAAAATGACAATAAAAATGAAAACAAAGAAGATTGCACGTGGATAAGAAGTATGAATCAGGCTAGATTAGTAAAGGCAGATTAAGCTGCATACTTGTCAACTCCAAGCTTTCCATATTTGTTTTCAATGTATTCATTTATTCTCCGTTCGCTCATTTTTGAGGGTCTCACAAACCTGTTAAAGGATCAACACAAAAGTTAATTGTAGGCTAAGGAAAAAAATAATGATCTTCATATATAAACTATATTTTTAAAATTTTAAATAAACTATCCTAAGAAGTCAAAAATATTAATATTATAATGACTCACAAACCATCTTGTTGCATTTAAGGGTTCAAAACTCAAGAGACTACAATTCTATTCAAGGTATCAACTATTAAAAAAACTAGTATCCTAATGTTATTTTTGTATAATTTGATGTTGAACCTGAAAAATATTATAGTCTAAGAAAGTAATGTCAAGATGTTGTCCTGAAAATGTTCTTTACCTTTAAATATTCTTCTTAGAACTATAGAAAAGAACAAAAAGTAAAACAGCATTATCAAAAGAAAAACAGAATATCTCAGGCAATCATTGAACTCTGCACTTGTTAGATATGGTATAAAGTGGCAGATCAAAACCTGTGGAATATGTCTTCAACTTGCAATGTTTTTGCACTAATCATTAGAACTGGAAACTCAAGGATCTCAACTCTACCCTCTAAATCAAGCACAAGGAAATATGCTAGATTCTGCGGGCGTATTTTGTTCAATTCAGTAATGTCCACTTGAAGCTCCCTGGAGCAATCATGATTAAATGTCTCAAGGTGGATAGGATCATCCATCTGCAGATTTAAAGAAAAGAAAACAACAAAACTACAAATATTATGCACACATAAAACTATAAACCAAAGACACATTTTTCAAGTTTGGAGGTTGCAAGTCTTGTTTTCCAGAACGACTCATGCCAATCAATTCACCCGACATCTTCTAATAATATCCTGATAGACTTAATAAACATCAGTAAATCATCTATCCGCAGTTCCATGTCATCGTTACACAACACATTTAAGTTAACATGACATGTCAAAAGGATGAAGCTGATTCCAATCTAACAATATCATCTTCCATACCTACAATTAAATGACATAACAAGTTCTCTTCTCACAAAGCTTGGTTCACGCGAACCATCAAAATTGATAACAATATAATGATGCCAGGTTCTCCTCTAAGTACATGATTCGGACCTAGTCAAAATCATACATGGAACTGAAAAATTGAACAAGCGCAGTGACATGAAATACTTTTGCATGTTCCTACTAAATAAAATACATTCATCTTTCATTCAATACTCTTATCGCGGGAGATGAGCGAATTTTAACCATAAATTACAAATTTACCCGACTTTTCTAAGTGACGATGTAATAAGTAAATAATTTTTTATCCTAATAAGAGTCAATGTATGGTTGTGTAATTCATACTTACTCCCCTTCCCTCACTTTCATTCACAAACACCTCTCTTGCTAGATATATTCTCTCTCCACAGTTAGTACGGCGGTGATCAGCTATGCTACTGTATCATGCCATTCTTTACCATTGAAACAATTGATCAAACATACGGCATGCAAACCAACAAGGTCTCCCAGAATTCTATAAAACATAAAAGTTGGACAGCACAACGATTACCCAGAAACAAAAATGAAGTAAAAGTTGATGGGTGATAAAAAAGCTGCAACCTTGACGCATTTTCCCTGAGAATGGTACAAGCACATGGGTTTCCAGCTATATTGAGGCTCATGGAAAGAAGGGGTCCGGGAAGTGGAGAGAGAAGCAGAGAGTGTGAAAGAGTGCGCTGGAGGAAGAGAGAGGTTGGTAGGGTGCAGTGTAAGAGGTGAGAGGGAGAAAAACATTGGAATACGTCCATGTGACAAAATCTTTGCCACACATCCTCTCGGAAGCGCCATTGCTGTTCACTGAGTGTGGTGGAACGAGGATTCTTGTGCTTCCAAACCGCTTATATATTTAAACGCAAAATAAATACTCTTTTCTTATATAGTATAATTATACTAAAAATAATTTATATAACAAATGAATTTGAAAATAAAAATAAAATATTAATATGTAAACTATATAATAAAAAAAATATGTTAGCTTTTACTGATTTATATTATGAGAGAGAATAAACATAATTAACATACTAAAGTAAATCTATGTAATTTCTATAATTTGCATAAAATAGTTTCAATATACAATTTTATTCATTTGTTTACATAGAGTAAAATAATTTATAAATTAAACTAATTTGTATAGTTAAATAAAATATTTATTTTTAAGTTATCTACAAAAGTAAATACTATAGTTTTATTAATTTATATAATTAGAATAAAATTTTCTTACGAAATAAATTTACATAGTTTGTATAAATTACATAAAATAATAAAAATTATGTTTAAATAATTAATTTACGTATATATAAACAGTACCTTAAATACTAATATAAAATTATATATAATATTAATAAAATAATAGAATAAATAGTAAACTCCTTTAATATTTTTTTTATTATATGAACCGATATAATGACATAAATTAATATGTAAATGTTGATTTTATATAACTTATACAAATTACATAAATTCTATTTAATAAGAAATTTATTTTTATTCAAATAATACAAATTAATAAAATATTATATGTAATATTTATATAATTTACAGATCAATATATATATTTTTGCATTTTAATTACACAAATTTATTCAATAATACATTATTTTTTATTACATTTATATAAGCAATTATCAAATAAACTATGGTTTAAGTTTATTCTATAAGGAAAATTGGACCGATTTTGAAAAAAAAAAGAATTCAAATTTCATTCAAGTATTTGTTCCATATTCGAACCATCTAATCTCAATCCGAAATCATCCCTCATTACATGCAATGTCTCATTGCTTCATTAAAGACGTGATAAGAAATCTCTTAAATACGTGTAATATTTTCTTCTTTGTCTTTAATTCATACATTTTTTTTTCTGTAACAATATTTTGAGAAAATGAAGTAGAGTAGCTTTTCATTAGGTAAGAACTATTATATAAAATAAAATCTTTTATATTTCATTTTGTTTTGAGTTGATTTTTCAACAGGTAATTAAGAATGTTTTAAGTCTAAAGGATAACAAATGAAAGGAAACAATTACCCCGTAAAAATTCCAACTTGTCTCCTATTTTTCGGAAGCAATAAGACATGATAGGTAGAGGTTATCTGCACTATATAAATTGTAATATATAGAATGAAAAAGAAGAATAAAAGGGTACAAGAACGTGATGAAAAAAATCATATAAAGTTATTCTATGAGAAATAGATTATACATATACAAATGGTTTAATCATTATTTAAAAAGAGGTTTGGTGTAGTTATTGTCTCATTTTGTAGGAAAAAAAAAGGAAAAAAAAAACGCTATGAGTTCTCTTTTGTTATTATATTAACTTCCAATTTAGAGCAATATTAGATTAATTTGGAAAACACAAATATGTGCATGATCTTATATCAAAAGAGTTAATATTCTCAAAATCAATCCAATCTATTTTCAAGATAACACTTCTTTTGAGTAAAAAGTTAATGCAGTCAAAAATTTCATGCACAAGCATATTAGGTACACACTTTTAAAAAAAAATATTCTCATCCTTTAGAAGATGTTTGTACAATATTCTCACAACAACTCAAAAGTTACCAAAGTAATTTAATGTGTAGGATATTACTCCTTTAATTTTTAATAATAAATAACATTAATTTATATGAAGTTACCAATAATGTAAATGATAAACATTTTTTAATTATTTTTCAGAAAGATATTTACAATTCTTTATATATTAATCATCAATCAAACATTTGTAGAATAAATGTTTGTATATATACATAAAAAAAGAGTTACATTTTATAACTTGGTTATTCTTTAAAAAAATAGTTGAAATCTATCCTATGAAAAAATTTAAGCGAGTTATTATGATGTGTCATCTTCATTTCATATGAATAGAAGAAGTTGCAACCTTTTCTTCTTATCTTCTAACAATTATGCCTACAACTCTCCCCACTACTACTGAATAATAGACATTCAGGAAAAACAGCTGAGAAGTTACCAAAATGTAATGCAGAGAGAGGGTCATCAAATTGCTTTTCAATTGTAGTTTTTTCTCTGTGAAACTCATTCTTCACTCTCCATTGTCTCAGTGTGACACATGGACATGGATTTGGACAATATTTCTTGACAAAACAAAAGTGTAGACTAACGAATTCTAATACTTTTTTGGACACTGCTGAATGACATAACAAAAATGTATAAACTACCAAAGTTTGTTACATTTTATGCCCTTTTCTCATGCAAGCTTGACCCATAATTTGCACCCATGAAGTAAGCATAAAGCTCCTCAACCTGCATAACCTCACCACTTTGCCAACACTCATGATGATGAGTAGCATCATCAAGCACTACCCCTGAGCTCCCTCCCTCTTCAAAAGAAGTTGAAAACTCACAACAAGAACCATTATTAGTATTATTGTTATTATGATGATTATGATTATTATTATCGCTATTGTCTCCACCTTTGACAACATTGCCAATTAGAATCATCTCTTGTGCTTTCTGCAGCTCAGCTTTGAGCCTCTCCACATCTCTCTCTAGCTGCTTCTTTTCAGCCATCACATTCTCCAGCTTTGCCTGAAGCACACCATGGTCCACCTCAAGGCTCTGAGTCTTCCAGCGTGCCCTTTTGTTCTGGTACCAAATGGCAACTTGTCTTGGAGGAACACCAAGTTGGTTTGCAAGGTGGAACTTCTGCTCCGGTTCAAGCTTCATGTTGGAGGCAAAGCACTTCTCGAGAATGGCAACCTGGTCCTCAGTTAGCCTCTTCTTGTTGTGTTTTGCTCTCTGGAGAGCATATTCCTGGGTCTTGAAGGAGAAGATGAAATCCCCCATTTGGATGGTGGAGGATCTGATTGATTGAAACTTTGGAACAATGAGATTAATTGGGTTTGCTAAGGGTGTGTGGGAACTGATGAGTGCGTTCCTCATAAGGGAAAGTTAGGTGCTCATTGTTTTATAAGGCTTTTAGCTTGAGACACATCAAGAGCCCCACCAAACTGAGTGGCAGATGGCTTCAAGTCTTTGTAAATACTATGCTTCTACTGGCTAACTTGAATTGTGTCTATATGCATATGTAGGATTAAAACCACTTGTCCCCTTTCTTGTTCCCTTCTTTTTAATCCTTTTGATAAAAAAAAAATAATAATGTCATGATTATTAGTTTTTTTCATTGAAGTGTGTTCATGTCACGTTAGGTTGACATTTAAAGAGAGAAATACAATAATACATATTTGGATCTAGTTATCATTATTTGTTTATTTTCTCTCTCTGTGTAATAACTTCAATTTTTCCAAGTTTCATGAGTATATCCTCCTAAAAAATAAACATATCGAAACCTGACAAGGGTTCATCCATCTGGCCAAGATCCTGGCGTTTGCTTGGACATATCTCTGATAAGGTTGCATGAGACAAGCTTAGAAATAGCCATTACCATTGATTTATTTTCACTAACTTGTGATATAGAGGTTGTCTGCTTCAACTTAAACATAGCTAATCTTACTTTAATTGGAAGGATTCGAATGATTAATTATATACAGTATATGTTACGTCAATGATCAGTGGCTGTGTCGTTTGGAAGGTGACAACATATTCCCCACCCATGCATAAAAAAATTGCAGGTGAGGCCTACGTTCATGCATCCTTGGATCTCACATTGGTTTACACATAGAACTCAACTATTTGACGCAATGATGAAGTTGCAATCCCTTCACTGAATCTGTTTGAAGAATTAGATGGCTCATAGCCTCACTTTGCTCTCTTCCTATCCCAAGTGCATGAACTTAGTTCATGCCCTCAACCAAGTGAACATGCCACGCCAATGCCAGTTGCACTGATAGTAAAAGTGAAAACAATAACTTTCCAAAACCATATTACAGATTTTAGAACAGCTTGTATGTCGGTGTGCTGAATAAACTTTATCCATTGAAGTTAAGGTTTAAGTTAGAGTCAGTAGAAAAACTCAAATACTTAATTTTATAATTCTAATTAAAGATTGTTTCATGTTATCTTAATAATTAGCTCCTAATCTTTCAATGTTATTTTTCTCATAATTACCTAACATTGTACATCCTCTTACACTTTCATAATTATATTTTTCTCAATTTGGAAGAAAGCATCTTGAAATACCCCATATATGTCACTGGTACGAGAATCAGGAAGCAACAGTTGTTAGGATATGGTCAAAGGTAATATCAATTTCATTTGGTCAATTAATCTGTGTGGGACTTTGAAAAAACCTACACCAGGGAAGATACCTAATTGTCGGCTACTAGCTATAGGTTGCATATTTTGTTACTCATATTAAGAATCCATATTAAATAAATTTTAAATTTACTGGAATACATTCACTCTTTTATAATGAGATAAAAGTATAAATAACAACATAAATTATGAAATACAGAATAAATAAAATATTTCGTTGATGGTAGATGATAATGATGAATTTAAAATATTGATTTCTGTATGATTTAATAAAATTATGTTATTTATTTAAAGCAATAAAAAATAGCATTTTTAATGAAAGTATTTTTGTTTTTACGTAATCTACTATTTAGTAGCAAACTCATGAAAATCTTATGATCCACCTTGAACGTAATATGTAACAAATATTTGGAGGAAACAGATTGTATAACACTGAAACAATGGCCTCGCATTATAAAGAAGATAAATATAAAAATGAAATTTTATCTAATATATATATGTAGAGAGAGAGAAATTCAAAATATTCATAATTATGTGTTTCAAAGGTATTAAAATAATATAATAACAAATAAATTTAAGACTTCATATATATATATATATATATATATATATATATATATATATATATATATATATATATCAGTACAAATAATTAATTATATAAATTTATAAATTGGTACACTTCTTTCATGTTAATATTATAATTTTACAATCTTTGATTCTTACAATATTTGATTCAAAATAATAAAAAATAAGGAGGAATGAGTCAACACAAGAAAAGACAATTTAAAAAAAATATTATTTATGTGGTTGATTTATTAAAAGAAGTTCATCGTAATATTATTTTACTTGTTACTCACTTTTTTTTCTTCCTTTTTTTGCAACTTTTTATTTTCTTCTTCTTCCACTCCCGCTTAGAATTGTTTCTCCTTAAAAATTGGTAAATGGTGTTAAAGTAAAATTTTTGAAAACTAACAGTTAAACTAAAAAAAAATTAAACTTTTTGAAAAAAAGAAAAATTATTTTATATAATACATAAAATAATTAGAAAAAAAAATTGTATTTACAGTTACAATAATAATTAATTATATGCATAATTAAAAAAATAAACTAATTCAAAATATTAAAAGATTAATTAATTATATAAGTTCAATTTAAATAATTTGTTTTATTTGATACAAATTATTTTTTTCATAAATTATAGATAAATGATAAAAATATATGTATTTAATTTAAAACTTTTGAAAATATAGGTTTTTGACAAAATAAACATTTTTTTATTATATAATTTACATAAAAATAATTATTTTTATATTATTATTTTCAACCGTAAATGTAACTCTTCGTTCACATATGAAAAGAAAGATAAGAAAAAGTAGATAAGTTCTCCGCATTTGAATTCGAATTTTGTGTGTAAAAATATTTTTCATTAAATCATATTATATAATTTTAAACATATTTAACAATATTTTTTTTAGAAAAGATTTTTGTAATTTTGCATATAAAAAGTTATCAATTAGAATAATTTTTTAAATAATATATTTAAACAAAAAAACTATATAAAAATATTTTTAATTAGAATCAATTTTTTAAATAATATATTTCAAAGAAAATATCTAAATAAAATGTTTACAAGTTTATTATTCAACTTGTTTATACACAAAATTTAATAATAAAAAATAAAATCTTGTTATATTATACAAATATTTTATTATATTTTTTACTTTTTTTATCTATTTATGTTTTTTTGTTATTTTGTGTTATTTTTTTACTTTTTTTTGTCTGTTTTCTCACTCGTCTTACTCTTATGATTAAAAATATTAAATTAAATTTTGATAAAACGAATTATTTATTTTTAAAAAATAAAAATATTTAAATTATTCAAAAATATTATAATTTAATTTATTATATTTAAAAAAATATTATACAATAAATTAGAGATATATACAATAAAAAAATATTATAATTATTAAGAAAAAATAAATATTTATTTTAAAGTAAATTTTTAATAAATATTTTTTTTTAAATATCAAATATGACTAATTTTTATAATTCAACTTAATTATAATTAGATTAAATTATTAAATAAAACATATTTTAACTTATAAATATTTAATATGTAACATCCTGATTCTCAATACCCCTGGTTTGTTAAATTTTGACAAAATCTTTGTCAAACTTTTAATAATTAAATTATTAAGAATTGGGTGAAGAAAGCTGTAGAGTTTGATGTTTGTTAGATTATTTGTGTTTTTCTAGAATTTTTCTAGAATTTTTAGAAAATACTTAAAATTGATCCGTTTCAGCGAGCAATTGGACGCCTGATAGTAATTATATGATTTAGGGTTGAAATTGAAAGAGTATGGACTTAACAATTTTAATTGTCACATTTAGAAATTATTATTTTCTTGTATGCATTGAGTGTAGATACATTAAAAGTTTATTATGTGTATAAATTGATAAGAAACATATGATGGTTGATATGGTTTGGAGTGATGTTGGAGTCTTAGGGGTTGTGGGTTCAAATCTTGGCTAGAGTAAAAAGGAGAAAATGAAGATATTTTTTTTTTGTAATATAATCCGCTGAGCGGATTATGTCTGTTAATCGATCAACAGGTTTTTTAATCGATTAGAACAGAGAGTTTTGGGATCCGCTGGGCGCATCAGAAATCCGCTGAGCGGATTGTGGTTCGAAATCTCTATCTTACTTGCGGCCACATATCCGCTGGGTGCACGATAAATCCGCTGAGCGGATTGTGAGTTGAAATCTTATTACTTGCGGCCTCATATCCACTGAGCACACGAGAAATCCGCTGAGCGGAAAATTAGGTGAAATAGGACTCAACCATTTGATTTTTAAATGAAACATTCTGCAAGTTTTTCGTAGGTTACTCGTTTCTCTCTTTCTCTCAAAATTTCCTTACCTTCAAACTTGATTTTAACGGGAAAATCTTGATTTTCTTGAGAAGCTCCAAGAGGTAAATTGGTTTATCTCAATCTCCGCTACATTTCTACCGTTTTATTTTTCAAAACGGTGCATTTTCTATTTTTCTCCTCACTTGGCTCAACTTGAATGGATATAGGAAGAAGGTTATTGTAGGTTTTACACCTAGAATACTAGAATGATGCTTAAAATTGAGGATTAGAAGTTGTTAAGCTAAAAACTTTAAGAGCCCTAATTCGTAGGTACTATTCATTGAATTTTTGGGACTTGTGTGAACAGAATTAGGAATTGGTATCTTCATGAAAGTTGTATCTCTTTAAGTTGTCGAAATTTAGAAACTGGTTTTACATTAAACGGATATTGGTAGCTCAAGTTATACCCATTTTACTGTAAGTGTTCTAGTTGTGACGTTAAGATGTTGCCCTGTTTCAACAGCCTCGGTTTTTGAATTACTGGGATTGATACGTATGAAATTAGGACTTGATTCCTTCATAAAAGTTGTAGGAAATTATATCCCCGAAACGTAGAAATTTATTTCATGTTAATATCTTATGTGTAGCAAGAGTTATAATTCAATTACCAAGGCATGTTCAGAGTGTTATTGTAATTGAGTCCAGTTGGAAATAACCACTGAAAACTGAAAACTGCATCTATTCTATAGGGTATTTGAATTTATTTCCTTCATCAATATTGTAGGTAATTAAGTTATTGAAATTTTGGCTCAAATATTATGCCAAAACAGTTTATATAACTCTAGAAAATTTCGAAATACTGAACCTTGTCC